TCTTTTAGTTGTATTTTTGAAGTGGTTGTGCGAGGCAGCAATTTCAGGTGTTTACCTATGCCACCATCTTGGTTTCTCTAAAATAAATTTTTATATATAACTTCTCACCTTTTATAAATTCTCTGTTCCTCATGCTAACCGTAACCATCCCATTTCTATAGGCGACCAACCAGTTCTTCATGTCCTCCCTTTCCAAGGACTTTTTTCCACGTGGTAAAATGTTTATGTTGTGTCCTGTCCTCATGATATTAGGTAGTTTATCAGATGAACCAACTGATGCTATGGGAGAGGCTCCCAGGTACTAAACATTTAATTGTGTCTTTCTGGAGATAGTTCCCTAGTGGGGCCTTTTTGGTTAAGTCATTAAGTGATTCTGATGATGAGGATTTCCAGCCCAGGAAATAAGGAAGGGCTGTGCTATGAGATCCTGATTACACTCATTTTTCTTATCTGCTGCTCCAGTCTTCTCTGTAATATCCGAGTATCTTCAGGCTTCCGTATTTTTTTCTGAATAGTTAAGATGGAAAACTAATTAGATGATGTGATATGATATAAATAACCTATATATATAAAAGCCTAAGTGACCATTCAACCGGTAGCTATGATGCGCACTGACCACCAGGGGACAGATGCTCAATGCACAGGCATGGAAACATGGAATAGACTGATGAATTTCAGAGGGAAGCAGGGAGGGAGGAGGGTGGGAAGAGATTAACCAAAGATCTTATGTGCATACCAGAGGTCCCTAGGCTTGGCCGGCGCCCACTTGCAATCCGGGACCCCTCGGGGGATGTCAGACTGCAGGTTTTGGCCCGATCTCTAAGCCAGGCTGAGGGACCCCACCGGAGCATGAATCCGTGCACCAGGCCTCTAGTATCGTGCATGGGAGAGGGGTGTCCCTAAGCCTAACCTGCACCCTCTCCAATCTGGGACCCCTTGGGGGATGTCCAACTGCTGGTTTAGGCCTGATCCCACAAAGATTGGGCCCAAACCGGCAGTTGGGCATCCCTCTCACAATCCAGGACTGCTGGCTCCTAACTGCTCGCCTGCCTGCCTGATCGCCCCTAACCACTTCTGCCTGCCAGCCTGATCGCCCCCTAACTGCTCCCCTGCTGGCCTGATTGATGCCTAACTGCTCCCCTGCCGGCCCAATCGCCCCCAACTGCCCTCCCTCACAGGCCTCGTTGCGGCCAGCTGCTCTCCCCTACAGGCCTGGTCACCCCTAACTGCCCTCCCCCGCAGGCCTGGTCACCCCCAACTTCCTCCCCTGCCGGCCTTGTCACCCCCAACTACCCCCCTGCCGGCCTGGTCGCCCCATGCAGCCTGCTGTTCAGTTGTTTGGTCGTCCCTCACAAACCCCCCTGCTGGCCTTGTCGCCCCAAGCAGCCTGCTGTTTGCTCTTTACTGTTACTATGACAGTGTCCCAGACAATTTGCATATTCCTCTATTATTAGTATAGATGTTATAACTATATTAAAAGGCAAGATAATCTTGGCCATATTTTCATTTTTTAATATCTGGGCCTTCTCTAGCTATTATAAGATCAGAAGGACCTGAAGATAGAGTATGAGGTGGTGGAAATTCTATAGTATTGGCAGACCCAGATTCTAATTCTATTGCTGCCTTTAGTTATCGTGTAACCCTGGGCAAGTCACTATACTTTTCTGGTGTTCCATTTTCTTACCTATAAAATGAAAGTAAAGACTCTTTAAAGTTCATTTCTTCTTTAAGAATATTGATTTTGATCCCAGAAGTCATATCATTCAGGAATTCAAGTCCTTCAGGGTCATTAGGGCTTTGTTTTTAAAATTGTTTTGGTATTTGAGAGTAGGGTGTTAAAATACTATTTATTAAATCCTTCTTAAACGTATAAATAAAATGTTTGTGCCCTTTTGCAGTGGCAACTGAATCCAGCAGGAACTTGTGTTCTTGAACGAAATGAGCCTGAAAGCAGAGAGAGTAAGTATTTACAAGTCCTTTATTGAGGTTAACTTTATTTCTGAGAAGAAATAATGCATTGCGAATTTTAATGAAATTGTTGGAAATTGTTGTAGTCTTAGGCAGAGGATACTCTTTTTCCAGGTTCGATTTTTGCCACTCAGTTTGCTCACAAGCATTTGTTTACCATGTACTAGGTGTGATGGAAAGTGCTGGCTAGTAATTAGTCCTGCATAATCTGCAGTTTAATATAAATAATCATATACAAATTGATTTCACAAATTAAATTTATATGAAATAGTAAACAACAGTGTTCTTCCATACCAAAACAAAAGCTTTTTGGATGGTTTGACAGGAAAACTGCATATAAGTAATACAGCTGGATCTAGGACCAAATTATGAGGATATATGAATTCTTATTAGAGTAAAGCCACATTTGCTCAGATTTGTCAGAGACTAGAAATGTTCTGGGTATTTGCATATTCTAATTAACTATCAGTCATCACACCTACCATAAATGAATTGCTAGTCTTCAAAGCTTTATTATTTGCATACTGACACAGATATTTTGAAAGTAATAGAATCTTTGGGAGATTTACAATTCCTTAGGCACATTAATTTTAAACATTAGTTATTGGTGTACAATATTATTTTTAAATACTAGCTATGCTAGCTTGTTGATTGTTTGTATTCTAGGTAAGTGGAAGTTTATAAGGTAAAGTTTTCTTGATAATAACAATGATTTGATTATCCGGAAAAATCAGGAAATATAAATATCTTTATGAAAATAATTTCTATGTAAATATCTTGATTTTCTTTGTTCTGAATTAACTTTATTTTATTCAAATAGTAATCTGGAAAAAAATACATATTTATGCTTCAGCTTTCTTTTTTAAAATTTATCAGGAAAAATAAGTAAAAGGGAAAAAAAAGATATACCCAGAGTGTGACAAAAGTAGGTTTATAGTTGTGTGTACGTGAAACAGTTTATTCTTGTATTATTATTTATTAATTATTGTATTATTTTCCATATGAACAACTAAAAACCTACTTTTGCCCCACCCATCATATATGTGGATCTGATTAAAGAATGTATATTCAATAACAGTGCTTGAGGGGATCAGTTAATAATTCCCTCTTATTAGAGAAAGGACTCAAAAAGCCTTAACCCTAAAAAGATGAATTAATTTATCTATGATAAAATTAAGAATATATGTTTATCAAAAGATACATTAAAAGAGGACAAAGGCAAGCCATGGAATAAGAGAAGATATTTACCACTTATCATCAACAAAGGACTGGTATCCGGGATTTATTGTTCCTAGATCATTAAGGAAAAGGAAGATATGCTGTGGTTAGCAGTCAGCTGAGAAACAGACACAGGACTCAAACAGGTGAAAATCAAAACACCAATTTTATTGCAAGACTGAGGCTTGGACTCTGGCCAAATCAGGCTTTATGGTATTTGTCCTTCCTTACTATCCGACCTACCCACCCCAACCAAGTCTAGACCTTGAAAAGGTACTCAGGGAGAGTCTGTCCAGCTCCGAGGAGACTTGCTGATTTATACCCTCTCAGATCCAGCAGCAGGGACAAAAGAGAAGGGAGGCAGGTAGTGTGAGTAATTACTTCCAATCTGTATAACTGGAACTCAAATAACCCATAACATTCTTTTTAAGAAATCACAGGGCATTGAAGAAAATAAGGGAAATATCCAGGTACTCCTGTTTCCTTGGGGGAAAATAGAAATAAGAGGAACAGTTTAATAGAATTAAATAGCAATAGTCAGTAAACACAAAGCCAGGTTACCTTGGGGACAAATGTCCATATAAGTTGGGATCTTGAGAATGAGTAAGTCTATGGCCTGCTGCAGTGGAGAACTAAGCCTGAGACTCCCACATGAAGCTTGGCGTCCTCCAGGGAAGCTAAAAGGCTCCCACTCAGGTACACCTCCTGGCAGAAGCAAATGCAAATTTTCTCAGAAGGAAAGTGATCCCAACGCAGGCCCACAGGATATAATAACATATGAGCTCATAATTTAAAAATAACCATACATAGTGGGAAATATGCCACCATGAGTAAGAAATAACAAACAGCATAGACTCCCAAGGATTTTATGTTTTGGAGTTATGAAATAGAGGCTATAAAATGTTTAGGAAGTAAAATATGCTATTTAATAAAGCACAGAACAAGCAATTAGGAAAAATGACCAGGCAGATTTGAAAAGAATCAGATAGAATTTAGAGAAATAAAAATATACTTGTTTAAAAAAACTCAGTGGCTGAGTTAAAGCACTGTTTATTAATGGCATGCTATTGGTTTTTTGAGTGGCACAGTCTTTATGGGGTACTGATCCATGAGTGGTGGAACATTTAGCATCCCTGACAGAGATGGCAATGCACATCACAGGCTAAGAATCGACTATTCAATTTATAATGCTGAAAAAATGGTAATCCATGTAGAAAAACAATATTGGGTTCTTGCTTTACATGATATAAAAATCAATTATAAAAATATTAAAAATTTAAGTAGAAAAGGTAATTTTTAGATCAAGGGTTTCTGTTTTAGAACAGTTTTCAGTTCACAGAAAAATTCAGGGGAAGATACAGAGAGTCCCATATACCACTTCCCCCTACACATGAATGGCTTCCCCCATTATCCAGATCTTCCCCAGAGTGGTACATTTGTTGCAATTGATGAACCAACACTGACATATCATATTCACCCAAAGTCCGTATTTACATTATACATTCACTCGTGATGTACATTTTATGGGTTTGGATAAATATATAATGACATGTATGTATCATTATGGCATCATACAGAGTATTTTCACTGCCCTAAAAATCTTCTGTGTTCTACTTATTTTTCCCGCACCTTCTCTTCAACCCTTGTCAACCACTTTGGTTGTTTTTTTTTTAGCCATAGTTTTGCTTTTTCCAGAATGTCATATAGTTAGATCATACAGTATGTCACCTTTTCAGAATGGCTACTTTCTTAGTAATATGCATTTAAGGTTCCTTCATGTCTTTTCATGGCTTTATAGCTCATTTCTTTTTAGTGCTGAATACGATTACGTTGTCTGATGTACATAGTTTATTTATCTATCCACCTACTGAAGGACATCTTGGTTACTTCCAAATAATTTCAGTTATGAATGAAGCTGCTGTAAGCATCTGTGTACATTTTTTTGTGTGGACATATTTTCACTTCTTTTGGATACATACCAAAGAGCATGACTGCTGGATCATATGGTAAAGAGTATGTCTAGTTTTGTAATAAACTGCCAAACTGTCTTACAAAGTGGCTGTATCATTTTGCACTCCCACCAGCAATGAATATGACTTCCTATTGTTCCACATCCTCTCAGCATTTGGTGTTGTCAGTGTTCTAGATTTTGGCCATTCAAATAGGTGTACAGTGGTATCTTGTTCTTTTAAATGAACTGGTGGTAAACTGCCCAGTATTTTTAATAGCATTTCTTAAGGCATTGGGCTAATTGTAAGCACTTAGTCCATGCTAGGCACATGTTAGTAGGTAGGTCTTTTTATTTATTTATTTTAATCCTCACTCAAGGACTTTTTAAATTGATTTTGAGAGAGGGAGGGAGGGAGGGAGAGAGAGAGAGAGAGAGAGAGAGAGAGAGAGAGAGAGAGAGAAACATTAATCAGTTGCCTCCTGTATGGGCCAAGACAGGGGATCAAATCCAAAACCTAGGTATGTTCCCTGACCAGGAATCAAACCCACCACCTTTTTTAGTGTATGGGACCATGCTCCAACCAACTGAGCCACCCATCCAGGGCAGTATCTTATTTTAATTTGCATTTCCCTGATGACATATGATGTGGTACATCCTTTCATATGCTTATTTTCCATCTGCATATCTCCATTGCATATTGACTTTTGGATATTCACCTTGTACCCTCCAACCTTGATGTAAATCACTTATTAGTTCCAGGAGGTATTTTTTTCAATTCTGTTGGATTATGTGAAGAAAGATCTTTAATTCCTTCCTTCCCAAGCTGTATTCCTTTCCTTGTCTTGTGGCATATAGCTAGAATTTCCACTCTGATGGAGAAGGAGTGGTGAGAGAGAAGGATATTCTGGCCTTGTACCTGATTGTGTTGGAAAGCTCAGAGTGCCTCACCATTAAGTATGATGTTATTTGTAGATATTATTTTTATTTCTGTTTTTTGTTAAGCAACACCCAAGGAAATTTTTTTAAAAATCTTCATTGTTCAGAATATTATACATGTTCCCCTTTCCCCCCCATAACCTTCCTCTACCCGGTTTGCGCCCCACCGCAGGCCTTTACCACCCTGTTGTCTGTGTCCATAGGTAATGCATATATGCATGTATGATCTTTGTTTAATCCCTTCCACCGCTGCTCTCCCCCCTTCCCTCTGAGAGTAGTCAGTCTGTTCCATGTATCCATGCCTCTGGTTCTATTTTATTCATCTGTTTATTTTGTTCATTAGATTTATTGTTCATTTATTTTGATTTTTAGATTCAATTGTTGATATGTATTTATTGCCATTTTATTGTTCGTATTTTTTATCTTTTTCTTTTCCTCCTCCTCCTCCTCCTCCTCCTCCTTGTCCTCCTCCTCCTCCTTCGTCTTCTTAAAGAACACCCTTCAATTGCTCTGATTGGGTATTTTTTTGCTTCTTCATACTCCAAACCATTGATTTGATTCTTGGAATCCTCTACTCTACTGTTGAATTTCTGTAAATTATTCTCTATTTTAGTTAGTGTATGCTTAATTTCTGACTGGTTCTTTTTCATGTCTGACATTCTCACTAAGATCCTTGGAAGTCTCACTGTCCCTTGAGGCTCTCATTAAATCCCTTGAAGTTCTCATTAAGCAACTTTGTAACCATTGTTTTGGACTCTGTATCCAGTAGTTTACCTGCTTGCATTACTTTCATTTGTGACATGTTTCTTTGTCTCTGCATTTTGGCTGCTTCCCTGTGTTTGTTTTTAAGTATTAGGTGGAGCTGCTATGTCTCCTGGAGTTAGTA